TTGTATGGCACATAATTGAAGCACACCTAAATTAAAAGAATTAAAACAAATTACAAAAACAATGGATTATCCTACCAACTCGTTTGGCAAAAAGCTGTCTTTGTCAAAAGATGAAAAAAGAGTTACATGATTTTGCAGTCTTCTCATTTTTTTTACTTTCAATAAAACCAGTTTTTTTTAGTTTGTAGTGTTTATAGTACCTAATATAGGCATATTATTTTATTCTTAAAAAGTGCGCATTTTGAAACGCCTAGAAACCAAGCCAGAGATAAAAACCAAAACCAAAACAAAACCAAGTTTTTTTCATCACATTATTCCACGTCCGATCACGACTACGAGCAAATCTACAGCTGCACCTACGAGAGCGACTACGTGCCCGACAAAAACGGCTACGGAAGTGGCTACGAGCATGACGTGCATCATTTCACAATAACAAAATCCGATTTCTTGGGTTTACGCTATTTTTATTTTTTCATATTTATCAAATGTGCAGCGGGATTATTACCATCTTTGGGAGTGGAAACCTGATCGCCAGCGAGACAATATGACTAAGATTAGTTCTGCCGTAAGTGTGCTACCGATAAATAACAAATTTGTTCTCAGTGAGACATTAGTTAAGGGAGCAGCTGTAAATATCCGCATGCTGTATGTTCATTTTTATTTTTTATTTTGTCTTTTGTTCCTGTTTGTCTCCGATAGAGTAAATAAATAAATAAATAATAAATAATACATTTAAACTTAGTAATTTTACTACACATTGATTAACTGAGAATTGAGAATGTTGAATAACGTCCGTGGTGATCCTGTAGCTAAAACAAGCTTGCTTGTAGTGCAAAAATCACTGTATCATCCTTATGGCTGGCTTAAGACTAGTAATGTTTTTTTTATATGGAACTGACTAACGCTTGACTGCCATCCCACCTGATGGTAAGTGGCGATGCAGACGTGGATGTTAAGCGTGCTAGCTCAGTAAAAGCCTATACACTCTTGCCTTGAAGACGCCTACGTTATAATCGGATGGAAAGACCGACGCCGGCAGGTTGTTCCTACAGAAACTCTGCAATACCTGCCTTTGTTTCTCTCTTTCGAGCTAACACCCGTGAAATCATGTAATTGCATTGCTGCAATAACGAAAAAACTGATCTTGCAACAGAACGTCTTAGCGCAACCAAAAACACTAATAAACAGTTTAGTAAATGGAATAGTCTCATCCTCTATGAAATAATACACTGATTTCGATAACCATTTTCACACACTATTTCCACACTTTATGACCTAATAAAATGGTTATCGCCGCAAATGATAAGACAGGATTTATAGGCCCCGCACTACTCGGACTTCCATTTGTTATGAAACAGATAAAAACTTACCACCGTAAAAAACATTTTGTACTTCTATAAATAAACTCTAGCTATTATTATCTATAGCAGATGTGTGATAACAAAAATGCCGTAAATAGTACAAAATAATTGTTTACAATTTTGGTGCTAATTTACAGATAGGTGAAAACCGAAAACACTTGTTATACGTACACATTTATAATTCACGACATATCTCTTAAGTAACGGGGTTTGTGAAGCATTATAGTAGGATATTTTAGATTTTATATCATATCCTACCTATTTCCCGTATTATCATTTTTTCACTAACTTCAGGTTTTCTTCCTTTTTATTTGCGTAACGCATAGTATACTTTTCGAGGTTAATTTTTTGTTCTTTTATCATAATAAATTCAATCTTTTGGTATGAAATTTTAGAGTCGAGAAAATTATTTGTTATTACAGAATAGAATACTCCCGATACTACCGGCCCCCAAGTGTGAGACTGATAAGAATAAATTATAACATTTTTAGCCGCAAATATTTTATTCTTAGTATTTTCAATAAAAAATATGTTTGTATTGCAATTAAGTAATTAATACAAAGAATAGATTTACGTAAGATATGAACTTTTGTCGACAAAAGGACAAAACTTTCGCCACTGTGATATTCGAACCTACTTCTCCCGGGTAACGCACCCACATGGTTTTCTAACTAAGCTATGGGAGTTAACACGGAAAATCCAGGTTTGAATCTCGCAACGTCAAACCTTTTTGTAGATCTATCTAAAAAAATCACATTTTAAGCTCCATCTTGAATGCAGTTTCTACACTAAAAATATAACTATTCAGAAATACATTTGCTTTTATAATTTTCACCAATTAGTAATTCTTCCTTTAATTACTAAAAATATGAAGGTGGAACAGATGATATACTAACATTATTATACATACTGCGTGTCGTTACCACCGCGACAATAAATGAACTAACGCTACTTGCCAATAATCATAAAAAATATAAACGTTAAAAAAGCCATAATGAAAGAAAAATGTTTTTCAAACAAACTAATTAAGTAAAAAAGAAACAAAATTTGTAACATCCTATACAACTACAACTGACTGATTCAGAGACTTTTCATTTGTTGCCACAGCGTCGTATTACAAGCCTCTCCTTCTAACAGTATGTTTTATCATTCATATGCTTTGTGGCCTTTACAAATGAACTTTACGTTACAGTTTTATACGTAAGGTGTTCTAAAATTCTTTGTTTTGGAAAATTTTATATCTTGGTAAATATTGATGTTTAAAGAATGTAAATCTTTAATAATATTTTAAAAAGTTATCCTCTATATGTGTGTTCATTTATTGTCGCAATTGTAAAGACACGCTGTATATCATCCATAGTCACATGCTATCATTGAAGGTAAAAATTAGATTCTTACGTGTTTAATCTCTTGTAATAATGTGAATTTTGAATCAGGATTTGGTTAATTAGAAAATGCAATTCAAATCAGCAATAAAGGGCAGATAATAGAGAAAAAAAATATTTTTTATTTTTTAAATTAGTTTAATAATTAACTTTCATTAATATATATCAATAGGTGGTGGTCGGCCAAATAAGAATTTCCAAGATACAGGTTGCTCCAATTGCGAATAAATATCTTTTTCTTCAAATAAACTCAAGATTTTGTTTAAATACTGAATCATATCATAAGCATCAGGGCTATTGTCACCTTCAGAACAAAATTCATATAAAACAAGGCATGGAAGTGAAGTTTTTTTACTGGTTTCAAAGAACATTGATGCAAATCCTCCACCATAAATTTTTATTTCACCTTCTTCTTGTTCATGCTTAATCCAATTCAATCTTTTTATTTCATCTTCATAAGGACAAGTTTTAGTGGATATGAAACGAAATGGTGATGAACTAATATGCTTTTTCTCATGAGCATAACTGCTTGTTAGTAAGACAACATTTTTTACATGTTTCATTTTCAAATTTTGAATAATATTTTCTATAAATGACTGTGCATATTTGTAAACAAGAGGTGCCCTTATTTGCAAAACCAGAATTTTCTTTGATTCACATATGTACACCTCACAGCTGGTCGTCAAACTTGTTGAATTTAAGTCGTACGGGTCATATCCTAGAACTGGAATAAGTGCTGGACTGTATACTGTTGCTATTTTCTTCATTTTTAAAGAAGAAATAAGTAAGTCGCATGTAAGTTGTCCAACGTTACCCACAGCTACACTGGGCATGATTAATGTATATCCAGATAGATCATTTTCGCCGACAAACTTCCAAATGTGCCGTAAAGCCATTTTTACAAATTTGTTAAGTTAATGCTTAAAATTCTATTTACATTTATTTCATTGTTACAGAAACTGAATGACAATGACATGCTTTATTTTATTATTATTATTAGATTATTTTGACAATTTTTATGACACCTGACATTGGTAATACGTTTCATGCATGTCGCTTTACGCATGGATACAGATTCTCTCGAGTTCTTTTATCCAACTTTTCAATGTTTTATTATTTAAAAGATTGAATTAATGTAGTAGGTATCTTAGAAGATGATGAATTTAAAGAAATAGCGTTCAACGATAAGATTTACGCATTAAATATCTATATCAAATTTGTATTAATTTTTGCCTAATTTGCAAAAAGTATTTTTTTTTTTGATAGCCCGGCTTGAACCGCTTCTTCGGAAGGCGTCCTCAGAAACTAATTCAGGATTATTAGTGCACCACTTCAAATTGATGATGCATCTCGTATTAGACCATCCTTGATAGCAAGAGCTATCCAGCGGTTATTCTATATATAGACCTTATAGTTCAAAATAAATCATGTGACATAGCTGAGTCAAACTGTTCATCTTTTATTTATAGGAGTAGCACTTAGTCATCGTTTCTTCGTCATACATTAGCTACGTTTTTCAGATTCTAATTTAAGTTCGCGGGACATCTGCTTGCAGACATTTTCCAATGCGACGTTGCAGTCTAAGTAAGTCACCGGGCTAACAGCTCTTACCAACTACACTAATAAAAAACTTGCGTCCAGTAATAACAAAATTACGTAATTGATCAAATGTTTTCCACTATTAAACAATTTTATTGTCCTTAAAATGAGTACTTATGAGGAATTGAATTCTCATGTTTCCTTTGCTACACTTTACTGGTAATGTAGTGTAAAAGCCAAAAGCGCAAGCAAGCCAGACTTTCCAACTTAAACCTTGTATCCCTCTAAATTTAGGGCGGAAATATGTATATTGGGCTTTTTTTGGGCCCAAAAATTTTTAAGGCCATTTTTAGTTATAATAATATTTCACGTATCACTTTTTTTTACCAACTATAATGAATAAAAAAACAAAAATGCTATTGTTGAATTGAATGTGATTAATGAAATGTTAGTTAATATTAGGTTGTTTTGTTTTGTTTTGATATAAGAGCCATTTTTTAAATTAATTGGCGACACTGAAGGAAGCAAATAGCAAGTAGCAACACAGAGGAGTCAACAGACTAGAGAAATCAGAATTCGATGTGTCAAAAACACAATCATAATTTTTTTAATCTAATTGTTGTTCAAATTGCTTCTGTAATTCTTGTAATTTGTAATAACTACTTGACTTCAATTATTTGCAAAAGCAAATTATTTAATTGATATTCTACTGATTATGACCGATAACGATAGTGTGGACCCTCAAATAGAAGATTTCATTCTAAGCGAAACTCAAAAACAACGTTTTCAGGTAATCTTATTACATTATAATTCTTAAAACATTGTGGCATTAAAACATGACTGTTATTCATTTAAACCCGAAATAACTTTGAGGCACCATTTTATTCCAATCGCTGTTTTGACCTTTGCCCTATTCTTGTAAACCGTGAAAATTTATTGTTTAATGTTATATGAACTACTTAACACCATTTGTCATGTAGTGATGAATTTGTAAACATATTATATGATATCTGAAAAGGTATTTTGTGCGTTAATACGCAACTTATGTATCCATGCTCTTGCATTATCTATTTTAAATTGCTTAATATTTCTGATATTAATTAATATTATTGATTTACTACTAATGTTAAGTTGACAATTCCATTGAAATAGTAGGATGCATTTGTCATCTTGTTTTAATTTTCATTTGTTATACATTGTATGGTTGATATCAGAAACTAAATATGGTCCAATTACTTGGACCAAAAACTCTTATTTAATTAAAAATGAAAAGTGTGGACCACTATCTTTTCGAGGTAGTCTTTTCTTATGTTACAGGTGCTTGTGCACGGCCTAACTGACACAATGTGGACAAATATGTTTTGATGCAGTTTTTTCTTATGTTACAGGTGCTTGTTCACGGCCTAACTGACACTTGCTGGGAAACATGCATGGGTAGCCCATCTACCCGTCTCGATTCCAAAACTGAAACATGTATTATGAACTGTGTTGAAAGGTTCATTGATGCTACCACATTTATCACACGGCGTTTAATGAATACTACGAAATACCGATCTGATGCTCCCTTAGAATTTCAGTAAACATTAATCAAGAGCATCTAATACATACAAACATGTTTTCAAGCATCAGAAATTTCTTGCATCGACATAGAAGAAAGTTTATAGTAACAGGAGCTGTATTTGGTACAATCTATTTGCTCATGAGCTATGCTCAGAAGAAACTGAGAGAATGGCAAGAAAAAGAAGCCAAAAAGTTTTTTGAAATGACAAGAAAAAAGCAACATTTTGAGAGCACTGAACGCACATGTAATCATACAATACTTTCTTTGTCAAAAATTGTTTCTGAAAGTATATTAAGTGTTGTAAACACTGAAGAAATTGTACAACGACTCAAAGATAATCCTGAAAATAAATTATTACTATGGGAACAGATGAAAATAATGATTTTCACGAGAATCTGTGTTCTTGTGTATGCTCTTTCTATTTTACAAGTCACTTTAAGGGTTCAGCTAAACATTATTGGTGGATATCTTTACAGAGACTCTGTTCATGAGGAAGAACCTCTGATCAATAGTCAATTGCAATCAAAGTATTTATCTTTATGTCACCATTTTGTTGGACAAGGAGTAGGGGACTTGGTAAAACAGATTGAAAAAGCTGTTAAAAGGGTGGTTGAACCAGTTTCATTAAAGAAAAAAATTACTCTACAAGAAGTAGAACAAATATTCTGGTCCATACAAACATTATTATGTACGGACACAATTGATGGTGATCCAATAAAAAAAATGGTAAATTATTTAGTGCAGCACACTGAAATAACAGATGCAAAATTGGACACAATTGTCAAAGAGACAATGGATGTTCTGGAAAGTGAAGAGGTTACCTCTGTAGCTATGTCTACTGTCAGTAGAAGTTTTTCCACTGTTGTTGATGAAGTTGCTAATCTGTTTGCAGCAAAGTCTACACCAATAAACAAAAATCATTTGGAGGTGGTTGATGATCACGTTGTGACTAATGGAGTTTTAAAATTGGGAACTAGCGCAGATCCATTTATTGATGTTAATAAAGTAGAAATTCACTTTGTCAAACTGTTGCCACTCATTAACAAATTGATTACAAAGAACACATGCAAAGAGAAGTGCAACATTCCAGATTTACTAACTCAACAACTAACACTGAATAATAAGTTGAAGCTGCTGGGTGCAAATATTTATGAAGTGTTTAGTAATGCATAGACTTTTAATGACTTCATTAAATCATGATTTTTAAGCATTAGATAATCATTTGCATTTGGGAACTGTGGTTTATAATTAGTTTTTACTTGGTCATATACAAACTTTTGGATAATCTAAGACTTGATGGTTTATCAGTCATCTCCACTATTCTATGTTAATCAGTAAGTTAATTGCATTATTTTGTTACAATTAATTAAAATTAGACACTGGGCCAGTCTTCAGTAATATATATGTACTGGATTATAAAATTTATCTTTGTGTCACATATTTTCAGGGAATTAATAAATAGTGATGGTAACATTGTTTTTCTATTTTTCGTGTATGAAATATTTATCTAACACTAGCACAATTTACCTTGAATAAAGGATAAGTTGAAGATTTAAATCAATTAATTATCATTATAGAATTAGACTGTCAGTTGTTGTGAGTGGAGATAAGAAATATGATAACCACTATATTATGTAAAAAAAAAACTTTGGCCTAACAGGTTTTGCTGCTGCACAATTATGCTGACTCCAGAGAAGCTGCGAGCGGTCAAAATTCTTAATTATAATATAGAAAGTGTTATATGCTGATAGTTATTACATATACCTTAAACAATGATTATAAATCACCCCGTTTCATGTGTTTTTGCCACTTGTGGAAACTAGCTCATTGCCAACTTTCACCAACAAGTAAATGCCAGGACATAACATAACGGCCCGCTTGCGGGGGCAAGAATGGGACATTTCAGACCTGCACTGAATAAAACACTCGGTGCGCTTATCGGCAGGGCTACGGTTTCGCACAGTTCCCCGACTCTTTGCTTTTTTTCTTCTCAGCGCTGGCCACCTCAGCAGGCTCTCCTCGGGGAACAACTCCCTTCTCTAACAACTAGTCTCCTCCAGAGAAGACGCACTGAGCGTAGACGATTGCCTGACACACAGGGAGCGTCCTGCGTGCATTGCTACTCGGGCCCTTATGCTCGAGCAACGACTTATTAGTGATAGGGCCACGCAGCAGCCTCGGCTGTTGCACAAAAGGGCAGGATCGTTCGAGTAAGTACCACGACCTCACAAAAGACCGGAGTAAAGTGGAAATATAATACTTTCGCGTTTCGTCTGGTGCTTGAGGTGGCCGGAGCTCAATTTTCAAAAGGTTATCAAAGCATCTGGAACCCTAGGGTGTAGGAGATGTCCATGGGCGGCGGTATTCACTTAACTCCGCCGTCCACATAAAAAAGTGTGTGTGTACTTATGTAGAAGTTATACTTCTTTGGCGTAACAAGATAAAAATCTTTTAAAAAATTTAACTTTTCGCCTCATTCTACGTTAGTAGAAAAAACGACACTAAATATAGAAAAAAGGTATTCAATACATTGAAAGCTTTATTATAATGCATTATCTAGTTAAATAAAGTTTATTTAAATATCACAAAATAAATATCGTGAATACAGTTGTCACTTCTCACGCAAACATACGTAGATGTCTAGGTAACTTCAGGGTGTCGGTTTTTCGTGACAGTGTGCGCGCGCATCGTAAAAATTTACTCTCATCATTTTTCCCTAACGCGCCAAAAGAAGCATAACTTAAAAAAACTACCCCCAGTCCGCTGACCAGAGGCCAACAGGAAGCATCAGGAAATATGATATATTCGAGAATCGACTGTGCAGTCACTTGTCAAAACCTATAGGATTTCCATAAATATGCGACATAAATAGACGTATCTTTTGATTATGATTGACATAGGAGTCATAATTTTTTTACATGATAACTTGTTACTTAAAGGCCGTAAGCCTGAGAATTTGACGTAAAATTACATCATACCCAACGATTCCTGAGAAAAAGAGTTACCAAACAGACACAAAAGTGATCCTATATCGGACTGAGACACGGAACTCTAATACAGAAACTTCTAAAAAACAAAAATCATTTTATAATCCCTATAGAGCGAATCACCATTGGCACTATTTTCTTACAACAATGTCCATTTTATCGTTATCAAATTATGTTTGATATAGGTGGATTAAACATCTTGCTCTATATTATCTTGACACCGGATTAATGTGGAACCTAACGCGACCGTTCGGAAACGTAGTCCGCGTAACGTGCTTATCGACCCGGTCGACGAAACAGACGAAAGTATTGGGCACCCAACGGGAGTCCCACCCGACAACACTAAACACATAGTGAGAGAACGTACAACCAAATAGTTCGTCCTTATAAGCGACAAGTACGGTGAAACCAACACAAGTACCCAAGTTACAAACGCGTTCCAGGGCGATTGTCACCGCCCTCAGCCAACAATTAATATACAGTCAACGGCAATCAGAATCACGATCCGTACGTAACCTCGGTGTGCCCGTTGGTGACATTCCATCCCCTTAGATAACGCCCGCATGATCACATGCGGCGCCTTACCCAATGCGGTGGGCCTAATCAAGATAGCCAGATCCCACGAGCTCTGCATTCGAAAACATAAAATTCAAGTGAGAAAGGATCAAATCCACTCTCAAGAATCTTCACAAATCTTAAGAATAATAATCTTATTTTCATTTGAATTATATGAAATATTGTTTATGCTACATATTTCAAAATATACTTACGATTTACGAACCCAAGTGCCATTTATTTTACCGCCTTTTTATTTTATTCACAATTAGGCAATATAAATAATTTTGAGTACCTAATAATTACTGCCAAGCAATTTGTCCGTATAAATATTTGCTCCTGCCATTCCCATAGTGAGCCGTGAGTCACAGAAATCTGACTAAAACGCTTGATGAGTTTCTGCTTCTTGGACAATGCCGATGCCTTCCCAAAATCGGTATAGACTACATACAGACGCTTTCCCACTAGATTCTGTCTATCGACATATACCTATGCCGTACAAAAACCTCTCTCCGATACTCAGCAAAATAAAGCAATGCCTAATTCATGTAGCGATCTTGGACATTATACGGATATATTCAAATACTTAAACATTACAATGTAAAGAACTGGAGGGTTAAGATTTAAACTAAATAGTGAGCTTGTCATTTATCGAATAGGTTGTCTTAAGTCACCACGGACACCAGTCGGGACTCATGGTCGACTGAAGATTCGGTTTCCGGTAAATAAAACGTAGTTTTGACCACGGTACCAACTTTACCAAAAATCCACACTTTAAGGATTTTCGTGAACTGTCACGAACATCGAGTTTCAGTGTGCCTGAATAGGTGACACTTAGCAAGTCTTTCGGTTCACTTTGTGTGAATTCGGCGTGTTTTTGTCCACCAAAGCCCACTCTTGAAGTTTGGTTATACATATTCAACCCCACTATTGCAGATATCCATAAGCGGTGCTAATCATTTAACATAAGGTGAACTACCTGGTCTTGCCACCTTTATACTTCATACTGCTTCGAAAACCTGAAGTAAATAAATAGCTCGAACTGATAGTCGATGGGGAAGAAAACGGAACGCAAGATTACACTAGATGGAGCGCCTTATGCAAATCTGTAGGGGATAGTTTGCAGAAAGCTTACGCTTCGTCCCTCCTGGCAAAAGGAGAAAGTAATAGACCTCGCAGTATTATTGGTTGTACTGATAATGAATAATAGTACCCGGAGGACCATATTAGTAATAAGCATATTTACTTATGACATAACATTTATAATAAGAGCAAACTATCTAAAAAACTTTGGGAAATAGCACGGTTTTTCTGTGACTACACAAATACTAAAAAGCACAATAAAAAAATATTTAAGTGGGGCTCCCAAGTGGGATAATGGTACGGCATCTTTCGTGCAAGAGCAGCAATTGCTACTGCCCCGCGGGAAAGGAGTCATTCATCTCCGCATGAGCCTTAATTTTTTGAGTGAATCTCTTAAGTAAGAATATTGAATTGTTCTTTTACCACTTTATACTTAAGAACCCATAGCAGATCAAGGGCTTTGAAAGAATTTGCTACGGGCCCCGCGCTTGCTTAATCCAACACTGCCTTCGTGCGTGAGTCCGACTCGAACTTGGCTGTTTTTTTAGAAACATTATTCATTTCGTACATGTACATATATTCTTTTGAAATTTAAATCTTAGATCTTATTAACCCTGAACTCTTTTTTGTGTGCATAGTCGATCTTAAAATTGTGTAAGAACGTTGTTGTCTCACAGATATCGCCACTGCCATGATGTTCTCTTTGCTTATGGTTAAACATATTCGTCGAATTTACGATAACATCCATAAATGCATACTTAGAGATAAGATGTAACACAAATCATAAATTTTTTACTTCTATGCTATGAAATATTTAAAAAAAAATCTTAAATTTAACATTATAAATTCTATATATAAACTTACGGTGAATTACATGTATCCGTGAATGGATATTCAGCTTTATTCTACACTACAGTCTGTACTGTAGCTGAAAATTCGTCAAAATCGCCATTGTCCGAAGATACAAAACAATAAAAAGGACTTAGGTACAATAGCTTAAAGAATAGAGAGAAAGGATGGGAATGCTTAATTCGTTCAATAGAAGTTCATAGTAAAGTAATGGTCTATATGTGTCCCACTGCTGGGGCGAAGGCCTCCCCTAGACAGAGCGTATTAGGGAAGAGACCACCACGCGAGTCCACTGCGGATTGGCGGACTTAACAATACATATCTTCGAAACATATTTTGATTATTACTTCAAAAATATGACGGTTTCCTCACAATGTTTTCCTTCACCGCTGTGCACGTGATAAGTCAGGACTAATTCACAGTGAGCACAATTAACAATTTCATTGGTGCCGGCACCGAGGATCGAACTCAAGTTGCTCGATATTCAATTAAAAGCGTGCGTGGACTATCACAGACCACTATTTTGACATAATTCTTTAAGAATACCTAATATAAATATTACAGACAATATGATTATGTAGTAATGTGTAATGTGAATATGTTTACGAGTATAACATATATCATGAATATTGACGAAGATTTATGGGAAGTTTCATAACTTTATTTAGCTATTATTTATAATAGCTATCTGGAGTCAGTAATAGTAATAAAACAGTCTCACTAGCTTCTTCTTTCTCTCCTCCCCCAACTCATCAGTCTCCTGAAGGTTTATTCATATACTTTACGTAGTCCTTATGAAGCAATGTTTGGCTGTAAAGCTAAATAGTTAAATATTAATCGACTACAAGACACGCCGATCTTTTCAACAGAAAAAGGGTTAGAAATATATATTAAATGTAGGGAAGGAAATAAGGATTGTAAAGGAAAATTCTTTCTCTGTGTTAGTTATCGTGGAAAAATTTATATAATTAGTAGGTATTTAACACTGTCATTTTTATGATCGTACATAGTATACTTTATTAAATTACCTACGCGCGTACCGCCCGCAAATGGCCCCCTATCATAAAATTAAAAAAATGATCAAGTGCAAGTCGAACTCGTACGCGGAGGATTCTGTACCTCACCCATTATACCGCCATAATTAAATTTGGTAAGTAATCCCCACCGATTTTCTCAGGAACGGGTGGGCTTAGCATGTTGAAATTTATACCAGATATTAAGGTCCCTTTTAGGTAAAAAAAGGTCCTGAGTCAACACGATAAAAAGATATGGGCAAACTGGAGCGACAACACGTGTAAATGTGCGGAAAGTCGATGAATGCAAAGTGGCTCAGGATCGTGCTTCGTGGCAGTCTATGAGGGAGGCCTATGTTCAACAGTGCACTCGAGTATCTTGAAATGATGATGGTTTGTTTTATCTGCATTGACACTAATGACTGTAGGGACCGACAGCTTGGAAACATGGACAGGTCAGTGGACAATCGTGAATAAACAGGACAGTTGTGATACAAACGTTAGGGGTTCGAATATCTTTGGCAAACAATAATGAGATTGCAACTGCAACAGTAATTTTGCACCCAAGAAAATAATCATATATAGTACCTGTGGGGTCGAAGATGCGTTGTCGAACTTGTAAGGTAACAGGGCCCCGGGATGGTCCACCTCACCACAGGTAACCCTAAAGCATAATACTTCAACTTCACGCTGATCTTCTGTGAATCTGAGGTAGTTCCCCGTCACTGTCGATTCGTGCAATAGCGGAAGCTGTCGCATGGCTCTACCGCAATAATTAAATATTATTACAATACAACACCTCCATAAAACACCGCTTCCCGACTTAACGCAAACAAAAATCGAAGTACTCATATCGTAGTATTTAGGTTTATGCACAGGTACATAATGAAGTAGATAAGTGATCAGCATTATTAAGTTACATTTGCCGTGAAACAAAAAGGTCACGTCGCTTACAAAATGGCGTGCTGGTGCGAACCTTCAACTGAATGCCAAAGGTGACCGGGGCACAGGCATAAGATGGTCAATATTTATACAGTACAGTATCCATAAGCAGCTTCATTCATAGGAGTATTTATAAAACAGTATGAAAAATATAAACAATCCAATATCAAGAGGCATGTCTTGTCTTTGAATAAGTTCGCATTGTATTGTACCTAAGTTCTAAAAAAAAGTGTGTGTGTACTTATTACACGCGTTAGAAGTTATACTTTTTTGGCGTAACAAGATAAAAATCTTTTCATAAATTTTATCTTTCGCCTTATTGTACGTTTGTAGAAAAAACGACACTAACAATAGAAAAAAGGTATTTAATACATTGAAAGTCTTATTATAACGCATTATCTAGTTAAATTAAGTTTATTTAAATATCACAAAATGAATATCGTGAATACAGTTGTCAGCTCTCATACAAACATACACAGATGTCTAGCTAACTTCAGGGTGTCGGTTTTTCGTGACGATGTGCGCGCGCTTTGTAAAAATTTACTCTTATAGAAAATACATTTATTTACCAAAAATCATACCTTATCATTTTTCCCTAACGCGCCAAAAGAAGTATAACTTCAAAAAGTATTAGTTCTGATTCTGATACATTTATTTCGGTTAATTAATGGAATAATAAATTATTTATTATCTAACGAAACTCACTTTAATAGAATAAGCTTTCAATTCCTAGTCAAAAAACCGGTATAATTAGTGACAGCTTCTGTTAGTCGACTCTTAGCTAATTTTGTCCCAGTCATTATGTTATTGGGATTCGAGCATCCTTCAGGTTGCGAATCTTACGTTCCGACCACATGTTTGTATCGATAAAAAATCTTCAAAAGATAGTCTTCCTGAGGGTTAGACTTATATTGATTCTTTTATATGAGACTTATTCTCACTAAAACACTATTAGACACCCCTAGTAACTTTCAAGGATCACCGGTGGACCGTACTGGTGCCCCTCTAAACTGCGCCAAGGTAGGGGCGACGTCTTCCTCAGTATCTATCTTCAAATAACCTAAAATTCCCCTACTAGGTGCAAGGGTATGTATGCTAAAGCGCTACTATGATGCTGCCAATATGCGCCCTGGGTAGAACATCGTGGAGGTTTTAGTCTGTTCAAGTCCGACATAACCTTGCTCGCGCAAGGGTGAGTATCCGTATACATTTGCCCCACGTAAAAAAAACGTTATACCCCAAAAGATCTTAAGTATCGCAGCCCCTACGCGATTCTGTGCAGCGAGATTATTAGAAAAAGTTTATTTTTCTCTAAAACGTCAGGTCAAAATCAGGGGTACATCACCGGTGCGTATCAAGAAGATTTTAATGATTAAGAACTCAACATAGCAGTATATTATCTCCCAAGAGACAAGATATCTTTCAAGGATTTTCTTGATGAACCAAAAAAATCACTGCCAGTGAATAACCAAACAACGACTATTATACTTTCAATGTCTTCGTCTTACCTGTAACGCGAGAGAATACTAAAGCAAAAAAGGAATATTAATGAATATTCCGCAGCCTACAATCCAAAAAGTTTTATACACAATCTTATATGTTTGTATGCTATATTTTTTTACTTTTGTATTAAATCAGTCACAGATCCTTTAAACAAAGGCGGTTTGTTTCTGACATGGTCTAGAAAACTTGACCACGATGCGTGCAGAAATTGTATACCGCTTCATTTTAGATTGGGTGATAAGGACCAGTGTTATATTCACTTTATACGAAAAATAAGATTTAATATTTCAATATTGAAGATTTAATACTTTATTATTGAAGATGGACGTTTCTTTAAAATTACTTGACTTGCTTCTTGACTTTCTTTGAAATAGACGAGGCCGCCCTCGCCACTTTACTCAACTTTACATAACTTTTAACCGCTACTATTAAGAAGTCCATCAGTTGGCTGCTACGTAGCTTGTCAGCAGGAAATTGTTTGCATGAAAGTATGGATAATTTCCCTACCTAGTTTGTAAAATGGATAAATTATCGGGGAATTAGGGAATGATAATCGGTAGAAATTCACCTTATACGCAATCTTAAACGAAGTATGATGTGTTCAATGAGTTAGCTTTTTTTTCAATTTCCCTACTTGAAAGTGGCCTTTGAAATAAATGCGCATTATTCCCCTAGTTTACGACATAAGCGTATCATCGCGGAACTATGGAACATGTAAAGTTCACATTACACAAGACCGTAAACGGAGTACTATGTAGCGTTTAATGACATGGTTTTTTTAAATTGGCTATTGCAAGCTTGAACGTGGTCGTAGCGGCAGGTGTCCAGGCATGTCACGTCGACGCGCCGTCAATGCGGCGCGGAGTTGCGGCAGGCGTGCCGCGGCGGCGTGCGCGCGCATCGCGCCCCAGCGCCAATACCCCGCCACTAGCCGGCGAGCGCGCGCCACTTCCTATCGACGCGTCACCAAACCGCGCACACCCGCTCGCACATTATTATGACTTAAAAAACCCCCATGCGTCCATTATCAGTGATATTTTATTAACAAACAAACATTCCCAATTCTCGAATCCCGGCCGCCGTCGAAGTTCCGAGGAGTCGCGAGTGCTCGAGACCGAGTTTTCATGTAAGTATAATCACTGTTTACGTTTTTCGCCGTGAGTATTCGATTTTGTTTCGCGATACGTTTAATAATAAATTCAGCGAATATCGGTTCTGAAAATGAAATGAGCTATTCTTTTACATTTTTCGAAGCCGGCTGCAATTTTTATCACCGAAATGGAAACCCAGTGAAATCGAAAATATGCTCATTAAAAACCTAATGTTAGCTTTTGACAGGTGGTAATTTAATTTCTTTTCAGATAATGATTCAATTATTTTTAAGCTGTTAAAGTAATATTATAAACTTTTAAAACACTACAGTTACTAGCTTTTCTACATAGGCGTGTGTCATAAAAACAAAAGTAACATGACTTGGAATGTCGATATCATATCGCTCTTTGAAATAACACTTACAAATCGGTCATGAAAATATTTTGTAATTGTATACTCGACCATTCTCTCCCATTAGCCATATGTTTACATTTATCAGCGACATTGACGCTACAGACAGTGTTTATAATTTTCCAACAAAGCCGACATCGTCGCCAGTTCAAACAATTTGTCGGCGTTTCGAAAATTCCAAAACGGTACTCCACAATTGGGTTTTAAGTCGTGGTTCAATAAAAAAAAGTTATAATAGAATAAGATATTTAGTTCATTGAATATTTTTCCACGCAAATTGGAAAATCTAAAACGAATTTGTAAGTTAAGCTCTTCGATATCGGAAAAATATTAACTTCACTTTGTACTTAAACTAAATACGTATAGCTTTGCTATACTTTAACAGCAATAAAAATATCATATGATTCTTATTACAAAAATAACATGGAAATTATGCATTTACAAGCAATGGTAAGCCACGTCCAAATTTGTTCTTAACTATAAATTAAGGTTGAATTTGGACAAAACTTAGGAAATTAATGCAAGACTATACGAAACAAATGCAGGATTATGATTTATCGACTCAGTTCTGTAGAGAATGCTAATGCAGTACATTACAATAATCGTGACATAAAAATAACGTCACTGCGCATTATAGCAAATCCAGTGCTAAGTCGCCATGTAAATCGACCTTCACGAGATGATGAATTCAAAAATGGCAAAGGACTTTAAGAAAACGGCGCGTTTACGGATATATATTAAATAGAAACAGTTATATTATGCAAATTTTAGTTACCCGTGTGGTGAATGTGCTAAATGAATAAACTGTATACTGTCCGCGATTTACCAAACGTTCCACTGAGTTGACTCGGTTGATATACATGCATAGGAAAACAGTCAAACATATATGAATGGCTTTGCGTCATAAATTTCCCATATTTCTATAAAGCTAACGAAATAACGTGTTCGTTGATAGTTTACTGATATTTTGTTAAAGCTGACCTCCGTTAACAACAGCATGGTGATTATATCATGACAGTGAAAATAAAATGGAGACCATCACTCGAACTTGGTGAATAATGTTCTAGAAAAGAGAATTGCGAACTTCAGATAACTTCAAGAAAACACTAACACGTTACCTAGGTCTACTTATCCGAAATTTTCAGCATGTCTGTTTAATGATTAATAGCAAACTGCTAAGTCTAGATGCGGCACATTTGGATAAACTCTTGAAACGCAAACAAATAGAAAAGTCCGATAGCTTTTCGAAAAGTCTACAAAGACGTCATACAAATTTTTCCCATTTTTCGCTATTATCAATAAATATGATATTGTATTGAGACAAAAAGATTTTTATCGACTTCGTGGTTCAGCGAAATTTTATGTATATTGAACCAATTAAAGCTGTAGTCATTTACAACATCGATTCTAAATCTAGTTATAGAATGAACAGCACTACCTTCATACATTACTTAACGGTAATGCAATACAATTTTAAGTACAATTTTTTTCGTTTACTTAAAAAACGTAACTACTTTGGTTCCCCTGGCTTTGGTTAGCACCGATTCACCTCATTGTTAGGTCTTTTGATATTTATCACCTAACAAAAGTTAACACCCAACAAAAGGCAGTCGTTGCATAAGTGAAAAAAATAAATTTTCCATTAAAAAAATCATTTTCAATACATATTCGTGAAATAGGAACTCAGTGACTAACTTTATTTTTTCAATCTGAATCAAAATAGGGGTTTTTTATTTTCACCATTACTATACTATTACTAGCTTTCGCCCGCGACTTCGCTCGCGTTGAACCCTTTAAATGAATATCTTTTTTTTTAATATTTCTTTTAATAAAAAGAATAACCTTTTTAATACCTCTAGAATACACAAAGTTTCATGATAATCATTTGAGGAGTTTTGGCGTGAAAGCGTAACAAAAAAACGTACATTATTATTATTATTTAAATTGGAAACCAAATTTAAAACCAAATCCATTTTAATTGTGAGAAAAATCCGTAAAACAATGTATTTAACTATTATTTATATTCACGTAAATACAATAAATTATAAAATACATAAAGGGTTTGTGTCAGTTTATGATTGTTTTTCAAATGACTCTCATATGTTAGTGTGAAAGGTTTATAAATAATTGATTCTAGCTTTAACATGAGCTTCCATTTTAATTACACCGAAAATTCAGTTTATTTTAGGCATATGCATGCCCACGGTTTTACTGAATATTTAGAATTATCTTCCTATAGTCTAAATAATTTAAAATTATGTAAATAATAATAAATTATTCATATTTCGTTTTGTAAATAAATTGCGAACTATTGTTGGGCAATTGAAGAAAACTAGTACTGCCACTCAAGACAAGTGGGGAAGAATCCAAGAAGAACGTGGTAAATATTTTTTTAAATTTTTACATAGTACTGTTTTGTTATAGGGCAACCACTAAAGACCTATCTTTATTTCGTTTTATAACTATACGTTCAGCTAGTACGAGTCTACTTGAGTGACCTAGGGTCGGCACTGGGTACGGGCCTCAACTATCCGTTCCACTTTGTTCGTTTTTACCACATCCACAAATATTTGCTCACCACAGGCCCGTCTGACTTGTAAAAATAGTACAAAATAAAAATCACCAACACTGTTCTAATTTTGTTTATATTGAGAATATATTGTAATGATTATATACATGAATGGAAAATAAACAAACAGGTTGGTAATAGTCAATTCAAGGGATAAAGTTACCTATTTTATCTCAAAATTGTGTAGTATTCCCGAGAGGCAATATATGAATGTGAAGACAAAATTCTAAGAAACTTAGTATTTAATGGTTTATCATGGTTCGTGTTGAAACTGCTGCATTGGGAGGGAATATATTGGTTCATATCGATCGCGGGAAGCAAACATTCAGTTCACGCTTGTTTACGTAACAAGTTCAGGCATTATATAAATATTTTTCGAATACATTTAACTTGGCTATCTCGAGCGTGTTGAACTAAGGAAGCCTTAATGTACCCGTTAGTAACACTGTTCAGTGTGGCAGGGTTTTACTACTGTACTTGCTGTTTTTAGTCTTAATGAATGGAAAAGGATGTGAAAATATATTCATTAATCAAAATACTTTTGTAATTTTAAAGCATATATTATACAATTAAGTAGTTAAAATTAATTAGAAATAGGAGTCTTTAAATATATGATACAATATTGCCTTGTCTTGTATATGTCTTGAATTCCTTTCAATTACATATGGTTTTAAATGTTTTATTTCAATATTTTGCTTGGTAAGTCAATGTTGATTGCTTCACTTTTGTCTCGTGTTTAATCGTTGATGATTCCTATCTCGCATGAAGAGAAATGTGCCATTTATTTGTTTGTTCCGCAATAGATAATGATATAAGTCACACGTTTGCTACGGGTAACATGTATGTTAACAAAAATTTTGTAGTTTACAAAAACATTTTAACCTATATAAATAATGATCCGTACCACTTATATAATAAGATTATTCTATACATTTCCCATATTTGCTGTCATTGAAAGAGACAACAACAATAGATTATAATTAATTTTATTTAAGGTGCATAATATGACAATTAATTTCAATAAATGGACAAAAATTTTCTTGCACTGTGAGATTCGAACCTGAGTCTTTAGCTATTTATCTACACACACTTACAATTTAACAATTAAATTAATGTCTATATCGCATGATCTATAAACTTTAATTATAGTTTTACGAGGATGTATAACATATAAATAAAATAAATAGTTAAATTACCTTGCAGCAATTTAGTTAAAACCACCTTCCTTATCATCGTTAGCCGAAACACGTCCACTGTTGAACAGAATGTCATAGAACGCCACAATTAACGCATGCCATTTGCATCGGCCGATTACTTGACTCTAATATAATACATAATTAAAATAGGACATCATGCATATAGCTTGCAAAATTTTAATTATATCTCAAACAGCACCTAACTTTACGTTTAGGTCACACAATCACGAATAAGCAACAACTAGATTTTCAGTACAATTAAAATACTTTTAAATTGATGTATGAATTCCTCCTTTGCTATCGCTCCGGTATTGCTGAAAGCGTTGTTTTTGATAAAATTATATTCACTGCCCATTCTTTCATTCTTTGGAATTATCTACCTTCGAACCCAGGAAAGGCACTCGCACGGTTAAAGGAAAAATACTGCTTTTCGACAAGTTGGCAGAATTACCACATCTAGGACTCATTCTTTTTATAGTTGATTTACGATAAACGTATTAAATAAATGTATTACATATACGTCACATATAGTGTACGGTGTAATGTAATCGGCCTAGAGTCGGGTTGAATTAAAGAAAGCTCCCTGACACCGAGCTATATAAGCAAACAAACTAAAATATAGAACCAACATAGCTTTAGTCCACTGATACTGAGTGCTTGATGCGGTGAATCCGACTAAACAAAACTCAATTCATGTAGGTACAACATGGCTACACTACTGTTAAAGTACCAGTCAATAAATATTCGCATCACAAACAACCCACCTCTTACGTAACACCTGTTCAAATATTACGTCATCGTGTTTGCTACTTATTTATTAAAAGATGCACTCTATATCTATCAATACTATCGATATCG